GGAGAATTAAATGTTGTATTGTATGTAAAGCATATAGAATGGTTCCTGGCATATACTAAGCATGATTTAAGTGTTGGTGATGGTTATTATAGAGTAGTTATTTTGGCAGTGACTAAGGAATAAAGTACGTGAACAAAAGAAATGAATCCTCTCAGAACATATAACTGAATGCCACTTATTTTATAGAAGTGTTAAGAAAATTAAATGAGATAATGTATAAAGCGCTTGTCCCAGAGTAGCTGCTAAAAATAAATGACCTTGCTCTCTGATACCTCTACCCCTGTTCCAGTATAGAGCAGTATGGGCAGTTTGATTTCTTGTTTGCTCATATACATTTGTTTAAAATTTTAGACACTTCTAAAAACTTTTGCTTTCCCATTTGCTAACAGAAGAAACAGCAGTTGTTTAATTGGATACACCTTTAAAAGTGTATTGTCAGATCCCCCACCCTGTTTGCTTTTTGGGTTACATACCTTATTATGGTAAATCCTGCTAGAACCAAGATGGTAGACATTGTTATTATTATTTCATTGTTTTTTTAGAGAGTGAGATGAGGGAGGGAGGGTGGGAAGGAGGAAAAAAGGAAGGAAAAAAGGAAGGAAAATTGGTGATTCGACTAGGGATCAAACCTGCAACCTGGGTGTGTGCCCTGACCAGGAATTGAACCTGCCACCTTTCGGTGTACAGGATAACACTCCAACCAACTGAACCACACTGGCCAGGGCAAGATGGTAGACATTATTAATCAGTCACAGAGTTGAACTGAGCTGTAGCGTCAGAATCCTTCTTCATAGTATCTCAGGTATCTATAATCAGTTCATAAGACTTCATGCAGTAGTGAAATCCTCTGCTTTAGAGCTTTCTAGAAGAAATGTTTATGGAATTATCAAAATAATATCTGACTCTGTTAATCGTAGGTCTCAAGATGTGGGCTCATCAAACCTTATGAAAAAGCAGTGTAGTCTTAGAGCATTTCCTAACAGATGATTTTCTATATTATAACATTCTTACATAATACGGTCATCTTTAGACATCTTCTAGATGGGGTACAATAATTTTAAGAATATAATTAATGACTATAAAGCAAAGATTATAGTGCAATAACTTGAAAAAGAGTGTGCATCAGAATCAGCTGGAATGTAGTCTTAAAAATACTCATGCTCTAGCCTTGGCTGTTGTGGCTCAGTTGGTTGGGCTTCATCCCATGCATCAAAAGGTCACTGGTTCAATTCCCAGTCAGGGCACATACCCAGGTTAGGTTGTAGGTTCAACTCCCGGTAGTGGTGCTTATGGGAGGCAACTGATTGATGTCTTTTTCCCTCTCCCTTTTCTTCTGCCTCTCCCTTTCCCTTCCTCTCTAAGAAAAAAATCAATAAAAACATATTAAAAAAATGCTCATGCTCTACGCCTTATCCCAGATTTATTGAATCATTTATCAGTAGATAGACCTTGACAGATGCATTTTGTGAAAGTATCCCAGATGATTCTGCTATTTATACTACTGGTTAAAAACAACTAGATATTGGCAAGAGTCTAGAGAATCAGTTATCTTCACACGCTATTGGTATGAATGTAAATTGCTGTAGTGCAAACTATAGAATATTTTTGCAGTCTCTCAAAATTTCAAATCTGTATGATGGGAATACATATGTGCACAAATATGCAGTCTTAAGAAAGTTTCCTGTAGACTTGTTTATAATCTCAAACAATTGTGAATAGTTAAATGATTGTCAGTACACAAATGGTTAAATACATTATGGTAGATAGCACAGTTGTTTACTTTAAAGCAGCGGTTCTCAACCTGTGGGTCGCAACCCCTTTGGCGGTCGAATGACCCTTTCACAGGGGTCACCTAAGACCATCCTCATATCAGATATTTACATTACGATTCATAACAGTAGCAACATTACAGTTATGAAGTATCAACGAAAATAATTTTATGGTTGGGTCACAACTGTATTTAAAGGGCCAGAAGGTTGAGAACCACTGCTATAAAGAACGAAGTATGCATGAAATTTATACATGCTGATGTAGAAAGATATATAGGATATATTGAGTTTAACAAGCAAGTCACAGACTAAACCTTGTTTTTTAAAAAAAAGATATTTTTACTGATTTCAGAGAGGAAGGGAGAGGGAGAGAGATAAAAACATCAATGATGAGAGAGAATCATTGATTGGCTGCCTCCTGCATGCTTCCTACTAGGGATTGAGCCTGCAACCCCAGGCATGTGTCCTTGACTGGAATTGAACCCTGGACCCTTCAGTCCACAGGCCGATGCTCTATCCACTGAGCTAACCCAGCTTGGGCCTAAACCCCATTTTTTAAATTTTATATGTAAACTAGAGGCCCGGTGCACGGGCGGGTCCAGCCAGCCCGCCCCAATCAGGCTGAGCTGGCTATGGGGAGGGGACGTGGGAGGTTGGCCGGCCCCTGATCCAGGTGGGAGGCCTCTGGTCAAACTCCTGGTCGAGAGGAAAATTTGCTTATTAGCCTTTTATTATATAGGATGTATGAAGAAATGTTTGGAAGAATACCCAGCAAGGTGTTTACAGTAGTTTTTCATGACAAAGAAGAATGGAGATGATGAAGGAGAGCAATAGGCATTTATACTTTTGTATTTAAAACTAGGGGCCCAGTGCACGAATTTGTAAACCTTGAACTGTGGGCTGCGAAGCTGTTGTGGGCACAGGGGTGGGTCTGAGCCCATCCTCCACACCCCTGCCTGGCCCCTCTCTGCCAGCAGCCCCACTCCTGCTGCCGCCATGACGATGCCGGCCCTGCTCTCACCTGCTGACAGTGCAGAGTGATTGGGATCGGTGCCAGACGCCGGAAGCAGGTGTAAGCAGGGTTGTTGCCAGCAACGGATGTGAGAGGCGGTTGCCGGCCCCGATCTCCCCTCAGGAGCAGAGGGAGGTGGAGAAGCCCTCGGATGATCAAGGCTGGCAACTGCTGCTCGCAACCGCTGATGGCGCTGGCAGCAGGTGCAAGCGGGGCCTGCACAGGAAGTCGGTGAGAGCACTGGGTGGGACCATGGCACGTGGGAACAAAGAATTTTCAGAGGCTCACCCTGATGAGCCCTGCCTTGGTCTGGAGCCCCCGTTCACCTGTTCCACCATCCCGCTGTGGCCGATGCCCGCCATGTTCCACGTGCACCCCCTGGTGGTCAACACAGGTCATAGTGACCAGTTGTTTGGTTGTTCTGCTGTTTGGTCTATTTGCATATTAGGGTTTTATATATATACTAGAGGCCCGGTGCACAAAAATTTGTGC